ATGAGAAATTTTGTCGACGATCAGATACCATGGAAAAATGACTTTTCAGTGTAAAGTTCGGAAGGAATTTGAAACTGAACTCATTGTCTTCAAATCAGTCAGAAGATCTTTATATTAATAGAACAATAATGTCATTGTTAGCTAATGAATGTTTCCATGCTGAACAACGGCAACATGACAACGTTTTCATTGGTCCCTCTTCTTTAGAGAAGACCAGGAAATGATGGATACACGGATCGTGTTCAAATCAATAGGCACGCAATGACTCTAAATAATAATGATCACGCCACCAAACTCACATTCAAACTAAAGGAACCAGCCTGTTTGGAAAATGTGAGAAGTAGAAAGTACAGCTATTTGTATTCAACATGTAAGAAGTAGAAAGTACAGGTATTTGTGTTCAACATGTAAGAAGTAGAAAGTACAGGTATTTGTGTTCAACATGTAAGAAGTAGAAAGTACAGGTATTTGTGTTCAACATGTAAGAAGTAGAAAGTTCAGGTATTTGTGTTCAACATGTAAGAAGTAGAAAGTACAGGTATTTGTGTTCAACATGTAAGAAGTAGAAAGTTCAGGTATTTGTGTTCAAAATGTAAGAAGTCAAAGTAAAAAGTCGTCAGAAAAATAAGTAGTGAAGTAAAGTACTGATAGCAGAAGAATGTACTTAAGTACAGAAACTAAGTATGTACTCCACTCCTTCCCGCCTCTGCCCAGCATACAAGCACATGCATTATTACTAGCGGTAATTATTATTTCATAAAAATTCATTTAATAAGCTCTGGCAGGTGTTCAGTGTGTGTTGTCGTCATGTTCCCACAGAGGAGTGGCTCCATTAGCATGTTCTTGCCAGCCTTTCACACCTCACAGCAGCAGCAGCAGCATGCACACTGACATTAATCAGTCAGGCACACACTCCAGATCACACTTGTTATGAGTGCACTCATAACAAGTGTGATCTGGAGTCTCACAGTAACATAATGCAATGTTTTCTCTACTAAATGTCAGTGTTCTCAGCAGAGAGGCTTGACGATATCATAGATCACTTATTGATGCACTTGTTATAGCTTATAGTTGTGTGTGTGTCCATATGGTATTAGATTACAGGTATTTGTGAGAGTGATTGTACAACGGATGCAGTTTAGTTAGAGGTTTATTGAAGTAACTGGACAAAACATATTTCCAATTATTGTTTTGTAAGAGCTGTGTGTTCTCTCTACCTTTGCCATTAGCTTTCCAGTCACATGTGACACCGTTTATAAACCCGTGTGTAGCTAATCACCGCCACCAAGTGTCCAAAAATAATATTGCAAATTTAGCCAACATTGAACATAAATGGCTCCTACAGTAATTGCTTACTTATAGTGTCAGTTTGGTCTTGTAAAAGCTTTAACTACTGAATACTTTCATCCATAAGGACGCAGAAAGAGGTAAACACACTATTCAATTGTCTTCGGTTCCTTTTAAGATCTAAGTAGGGGGTACAATCTTACCTCTCTCCGGCAGAAACTGAAACTGTCCTAACATTTCGTAACCTTCGTTTTGAATCCGCATCTACATAGCAAAAAATAATAAGGAATAATAATTAAGAAAAATAATATTTAGTGGCTTTTAATAATGTTTTTCTAACAGTTTCTGTACATTAGCAAGTGAGTTTATAGCAAATGCACACCTGTACAGTTATCAAGAATTGACAAATCACTTCTTCAAGCAGTGTTTACCAATATTTAAAATGTATTTTATTTTCTGTAGTTTACCAGTAAGTGTTTGCATGAAACTATTTGTACACACCTGGACTCAAAAAGCATTGCACATGGTCAGGTAGTGCAGCAGGTTAGAGCAGACTTCCTGTTGGAGGGTTTAATAACTTATTCTCTCCACTTCTTGGTTCGGAACGGCACTTAATATGGCGGACCCTCCACGTGAATTGGAGAGAGGATGTTGGGGTTGGTTTGGAATTGGGCCCAAAAGGCTACATGTAAAGCAGGGGTGTCAAACTCAATTTCATCGCGGGGCCACATTAGCATTATAGTTGCACTCAAAGGGCCGGTTGTAAGTATATAAATATACATATATATAAATAATAAAATAATATATGTATATTTATATACTTACAACCGGCCCTTTGAGTGCAACTATAATGCTAATGTGGCCCCGCGATGAAATTGAGTTTGACNATTCATTCTTTCCTTTACACGGATCAGTCGTCCTGGTCCCTTTGCAGAAAAACAGCCCCAAAGCATGATGTTTCCACCCCCATGTTTCACAGTAGGTATGGTGTTCTTTGGATGCAACTCAGCATTCTTTCTCCTCCAAACAAGTCTAGAAAAAAGTACTACAATTTTGTTTCTGGTGTCCTTTGACAGCTCTTTGGTCTTGGCCATAGTGGAGTTTGGAGTGTGACTGTTTGAGGTTGTGGACAGGTGTCTTTTATACTGATAACGAGTTCAAACAGGTGCCATTAATACAGTTAACAAGTGGAGGACAGAGGAGGCTCTTAAAGAAGAAGTTACAGGTCTGTGAGAGCGAGAAATCTTGTTTGTTTGTAGGTGACCAAATACTTATTTTCCACCATAATTTGCAAATAAATTCATTACAAATCAGACAATGTGATTTCCTGGATTCTTTCCCCCATTCTGTCTCTCATAGTTGAGGTGTACTTAGGATGAAAATTACAGGCCTCTCTCATCTTTTTAAGTGGGAGAACTTGCACAATTGGTGGCTGACTAAATACTTTTTTGCCCCTCTGTAAGTGGACTTTGACGTTCACAACTCCTTTCTGACAAATAGAAAACACAATATTGTCACAAGGGATTCATAATGTTTGGTAATGAAAGGCAGAGAGGAATGATACCTGTCATCAGCAGGTTGTAGGCCTCTTGCTTGGTGATCTTTCCGTGATACCATCTGTTTGAGAGATACAATAACATTCAAAATGTAGTTTAGTCAACAAAATGCAGACTTCCAGTAGAGCCTCCAGCACCACAAACACCATCTCTAAACACACATCTTAAAATACTGACATCACTGTTGGGGGATTTCATCTAAGTAAAACGACTATCTCATGTTCACTTCATTAAATCTGAATGAAATAATGAATTAGGCTCTACACACATACGCCTTCCCATTCATGTCCCATCTATTGTCCAAAGGGTTCAAAGAAGGAAACGCTTAGATGTGGCCAGACTTTAATCTAGAGCTCCTATCCTCTCTCAGGGTTGAATCAATAACTGTCAAACTTTAAGACTTGCTAAAGCTGAAGGACATGGTCGGTTAGGAAACAATAAAAACGTGCAGTGAATAATGTGCTGTCATACTTTTCTTAATGACAAAACAAAAACATGTTGGGAGAATACAGGCAAACAACAAGGCTGATCTCACATGGTGGATATTATCCTGTAATGATATGTTATTTAAAAGTATAAATATAGCAACACACATTGCTGTCCTGCTATCAGATATTGAGCACTGAGAAAAGTGAAATCAGAGTATAATAACTTACGCTTTTCCCTCATGTGGATCCTCCTCCCGGCCCTAGAAGAATATCAGAAACAGAAATTTGTCATGAACCAAAATCAAAAGGACTAATAACTTTATTGTTTGTGACGACTATGGACTGTTATTTGGTATAAGCATATAACATAGCACGACCATGGGTGCTCTGCTAATGCCACTCTGGTATGACCTGGTATGTTTCTTTTGAAGCACTGAGTTTAATTTGCAATACATTTGAAACCTTGAGCTGCACTTACCACCTCTTCCACCAGGTCCTCCACGATGAGGCCCTGCTCCTCTGTGCGAACATTGGTCACCCACATCCAGCCATCATCCAGTTCATTGTGAACAATAAACATGTCCCCTTTCAGGAAGCTGAAGATATCATTGAATCAAAATGGCCATTAAGACAAAAGGATGACAGATTGTAGGAAAAAAGGAAAAATAAAGATTAGTGAAACACACTGTAAAATCTGCTATTGATCGGTTGTTATGCTATAACCTCAATCCATCTCAAAGCATTGTTATCTGTATAATGTGAGAGAAAGAAACTGCAAGTCGAGTTATTTAGTTTCCAGTGTAATACCAGAGCATTACCAGCAGGTGTCTCCTCAGACTTATAACATTTGAGGTAAATATTGCATGTCTGAATACTGGGTTAAGCCAGTGGCCTCGCTGGCAGTCAGAGGGTTGAGGTTGACTTCAGACAGATGTTGATCACATTTAGGAAATCAGGGATAGCTGGGGTCATCAGTAAGTGTGCCTACTGCAGCTTAATAACAGGGACAAGACTGGTTTTCTTTAACAAGTCAGATGATGTGCTTTCCACGCTGCTGTGAGGGGACGAGCAGGCCGGTGACATGCCAATACAAATCTAAGTGAACTAGGCTGCTCTTTGAGAGCAATACAATCAAATGATATATTTTTAAGCCCATGAAATCCCCTCAGACATGGATCATGATTATGAGTACTTTTACGTAAGAGAAGAGAAAACGTTGTACTACTATAGGTTTAACAATAGGTCTCTTATGTACAGTTACATAGTCACAAAGATAATTACCTGATCTCATCAGTATCTGGCACTTTGGTGTAAGGAAGTATGGCCCTGACTCTCCTCCTGTCTTCTACAGGCTGTGGAAACATGCACACAAAGAATGAAACTCTCACTCTAACCATGACCTTCTGAAATCGCATCCATGTTAAACCCCATAATTATTCCACTAATTCAAGTATTCTACTACAACCCCCTCAGGGAGAGATCACACTCTGCTGAAAAAGGTAATTAGCATTAGCTTGTGCTTTGCTTTAAACACTTCCGAGTACTGCCTGAAGGTGAAAGAAGAAGGGGATATGGAAGATGGGAGGATAATCCCTTGCACATTGAGCAAGTGGCTGAATAAAGGACTTGAGGTTGACTTTACTTTAACTAAAATGGTAATTATTCCCCACTCATCTTTCAACTCTGAAATATTTTATCAGGTTAAAGTACTTCTTGCTGTTTTTGCAGCTTTTGGCATTTAAATTTCAATTCAGTTTTGGTAGGTCTCTTAAAAAAGTTATTTCATGTGCCATTTAAAAATACACAAGACACTAACACGCTTAATCTAGTACTTAAAACAGGGGGTATTGCAATATTTCATTTAAAAAACAGCTACATTGAGGAAAAAGAGCAAAAATCTAGTTATATCATGTCAAACAAGTAGTGAAAATATGTATAAATATAGTAGGGGAAGGGTGGAACATTTTAAATATGCCAGAATTAATTAAATGTAGTATTTTTAATTATTGAATACGCCCAGCCATGGAGTCAGTCTCACCTCTGGGGGCGCCACTGGTGATAGCAGTTTCTCTCCTTTTAGCAGGCAAGACACATAGCTGTAGTAACCAATCAGGTCTGAGAGAGAAGAGAACCGCCGCCCACCAATGTAATAGTCCCCACACATGGCAATTATCCTGTTGAGAGAAAACACATCAAAGATAAAAGACAGCGGTTATTTAATCACCGAGCAGCGAGGGAAATATAAAATGTTCAACTTGTATTTATTTGGCGGTGAAATAATCTCTCTAGACTGCTGTGTCAAAGTTGTTTTTCATTATTGTTCCTGCACTGCATATACAACATAGCACATCAAAGATATAACAGCAACTGTACCACAATCATTAAACGTCCGAAAATAGATAGTATATGTCTAGAGGATTTCAGACAGTGAGATAAAAGAGAGCGATAGAGGCTTTCCCGTTTAATCCAACAATGCTATTTGTCATTTGTGACTGAAAATAACTTGGAATGATTACAATGGTTTCATGAAAGTACTCCTCTAAACCACATCCTGTCGCAGAGCCACTAATCCTAATTCTCTGCTCATCAGCTGAGTGGATCTCTGATTGAGGGTTTATAATAAATGCACTTGTGCGATTACTCATTTGCTGCTTCTAAAGACATCGACTCTTTGCAGTGTAGATGTCACGCAATTAACCTTATGTTCATGATTCCCCTTACAGTAGCTCCCTCATTCATCCTCAATGACATCATGGGTTAACACTAAACCAATGAGAGTGAAGGAGATGGTGTCATTGTTAGTTCATTAGAGAAGTGCTTTTTTTTTGGAGAAATTGTCGGAGATTTCTCAAAAGCAGAAACAATCTTTAAAGAGTGCCATCATAAAGAAAACAAGCCTTGGAAATAAAATAACCTTCATATTCTATATAAACATGCATTTACACAATGAAGGGCGGTATGTTTGAAAAAATTGATATTTCAATTTCCAAAATTGAAACAATGGCCTGGACAGATATGGGCTAATAGATTATCTTCTATCACACGCCTGCATTATGTCCCTAAGCGCTTACAGTTAGTATGAAATACACATATTGGAAACCTGTACATGCAAAATGTGTTTCTCTGCTTATTGAAACATACACTTTATCACATTCAGGCCCCAGCCAAACGGAAACGAAAACGAACAGAATTCGATATCAAAAACGTCTTCCATCCACAAGCAATAGGCACCAGAAACATGTCCTTCCACACGAGACCGCTAGACCCGCTGGAGACGCTGTAGTACATATGCCGGGCCTGTAAGTGGCGCTGTACTTCCGCCACAAAATACACCAAAAGCAGCGAAGAAGACTTCCCGAGCATGCATGGTTGCAACTTGCCATGGTTGCCCTTCTGTTTATTCTCCGCGGTGGATTTAGCAGCAGAGGTGGGGAGAGGCAGGGCTCTGGCTTTTTTTCTCCCTTCCCGAGGCAAGCTTGTGCTCCTGCTGTAAATCTCTCCGGTAGTCCACCAGCAGATGAAAAACACCCACCTCTCCGCCTCTTCCAAGGGACGAGGGAACCGTGCGGCAGAGTTTCCGTCAGAATTTTTTTGCGCCGGTCTACATGCCCGTTAAAGTTTAAATCTTCCGGACAAAATTAGAAAAGTGCCGGTAAAAGGTCTTCTTTGTTATTTATTGAGCTTTAAAACAAATGAATAATGACTCTATATAATAATAATAATATACGGAGTCTCTCTTTTCCTGACAGCCCGCCAGTTTTTTCATTATCAGGAAATTAGGGCCGTTTGGCCCCCCAGAACGTTGCGTCCGCAGATCTACCCACCTGGCCCGTTATCGTTATCCGCGTTTCCCTGTCGGCCTCGTGTGGCCGAACCGTCTATAAGACAGAGAACTGTAGCAGATACGACCCGTTTCGTCACCGTGGGGCTAGGGCAATAATCTACAAGGAAGCCAGAGGTAGAGGTTGCCAGATTGTTCGCCCTTTATCTACTGTGTGTTTTCAGCTGCAGGGTGAATGTATTCTCACACTGACTAAAACATATCACTTGAAGAAGAGGACGGATTGTAATGCGTAATCTGATTTGTTTTATTGGCTATAAGACTGTTGAGTAGCGTAGGGTATTGTTGCTAGACAAGTCTGCGGTCTTCATTCTTTTACTTCAGGTCCACCCACGCACACAATTCTTCCACATAACACACACAAGCAAACAGAGACAAGGGTTTACGCAGACCAAGTTGATATGCAATATAAAAACATCTGTATGAAATGACAGTGATAAAATAGGCTGATGTGGTCAACAATGGCATGACATTGCACAGGAAACCACTTTCCAAACCTCAACATTCTCACTTCAGTATCGACTCATCTTTGAGGTTGATCTTTCACTGCAGTGTCTGAGGCTTTCTGCCCTATAGGTTAGCAGGTAATACACAACGTCTGAAGTTCCCCTATTCTTATCCACTACTTGAGGGAGGCATACTGCCTGATTTTTGTGAGATGCACTATTGTGTTCTATGTCACCGACTTAAAGGGCTCTATAGAGAAAAGAGATTCAAGATACAGTTAAGTATTCTACCCAAAAAAATCCTCTTAGCTGCAGCGATACCATGCTAGACAGGTAAACTCACTATATGAAGCTTCTATAATTATTATGTTAAAAACACCTCAAAGACATTTGGGATAATTTTGGTTTGCAGTAAATTAAAGTAGGAATTCATATAAAAAAGCATTGTAATCAATTTTGTTGGCCAAGTCAGGTAAGGTTACATCTCTGGAGAAAAACTTCCACCATGCTAAATGATTTGCAACCACCACCTTAATGTGTAAATGGAAAAAAGATGCTTGTATTTTACTTACTCTGTAAAGACTGCGTAATTCTTAATTTTGTTGATGTTTGACAATCCATCCCCAGTTATTTATTTATTTTTGGTAGTGGGTTACCCTTGGCCTTTTTGTTTATGTCTACGATGCTGTCGACTGGCAGCTTTAGACTATTCTCAGGAATTGTCAATGTAATACCCAAAGTTTTTTCTTTTCTTTTTTCTTTTGTACGCCATGTGAAGGCTTCGGCTACCTACTTACTGTATATTGTGTATGTCTTTGCTTTATTTGTAATTCAAAATAAAGTATTAAAAAAATAATTTTGGTTGCAGTAAATAAAAGTAGGAATTGATATAAAAAATACACACTTTTTAAGCATTGTGTAGGCCAAGTCAGGTCAGGTTAAATCTGTTGAAAACTTCCACCATGCTAAATGATTTGCAACCACCATCTGAATGTGTAAATGGAAAAAAAGACACTTCTCCCCAAGGCTTTTAAGAAAGCTCTCGCTGCAGATTCACACAGGGCCGAGTTCTTTTTGCTGCCTTACCTGAAATGGTTGACCACGTTGGTCACGCTGAGGAACGACAGGACGAAGGAACCGGGCCGGCGGTCGCTCTCCCTGATGAGGTAGCTGCCGGGGCTCCGGGCCTGGCGCAGCCGCTCCTCAGCGATGTTTCGGTCTAGCTTGCCATGGTACCACCTGAGACAGAGCAGAAGGAAAGAATTAGAGGACGGGCGACAAACAATATAGATCAAACATCTTTCTAAAGATATAGAACCACGTAATTCTTTTCCACAGAAGTGTTTTCAGAAATAACCAAACATTTAATTGCATAAGAGAGCAATCACAAAACAGTACATTAACAACCATGGATCTTCAACCAGTTGTTTTTTTGTTCTTCTTAATATATGTCTTTTTTAATCATATACGCTAGGGCTGAACGATTAATCAATTTTAAATCGAAATCGCGATTTGAAATGATATGATTATCAAATAGCAAAGCCTGCGATTTTTTAAAACTTTTTTTCCTTGAGTGTCAGTCATTCACACCAATCAGAAGTGCTGTGCTCCACATGTACCAGCCATTGTTAACCAATCAGAAGTGGCCCATGATAGAAGGTGATAGACAGATTGATCCAATCACCTGCCAAGTATTTTTGAAAGTGCCTGCCCTTTCCAAATGGCTTCCAATGGAGCTTTCCTGTATTTCCTAATACACGCATATTTTTGAATCCTTATTTTCAGAAAAGGTTTTGCAAGGCAGTAAGTCAACAAGTCAATGATCAATCCAACACATTGATAGGTGGAAAATAAAATAAAAATTAGACATGAATCTCTCATGTAGGCCTATTCTTAAAAAAATGGATATCCAAAAGCTTTTACTTTTGAGTTTCTAGCACACACCATTAAATCCTTCTACTTCCTGAATTAAACAGAAGCCACAGGAGCAACACTGGTTAACATTTTAGCAGGTGAGGCTTAACCTGACTGGGCCCGGCCAGCTGGGGTACAAAATGAACACGCTTTTTCCAAATATAGGCCACTGCTGCCTCTCGAAGCGGAAGGCAGCTACTGAAAAAACATCCAGCGTTAAAGAAGATGAATGAGGCGCTGCAGTCGCTCTCACCACAGGAGACCTTAAGTTCTCCCATCTGGTTCTAGAGGTCTCTACTTGTAATAAAATGTGGTGAAGTCTGCTATCATGGAGCGAGCTGGAGACGGATTGCCAAAGAGGAGGGGAGAGTTAAGGGTCCATGAGGGGCTTAGGGGGGATTTGGGTGATAAGAGAAGTGAAGAGGGCGAATGAGGGCAGTTGGAGAGTCAGCCCTAGCACACTGTAAAGAACTGGGAAGCTGGGGGAAATACACAATTACATATGACCCATAAAACCATGTATAATGTGACATAAAAAGCACTAAAAACTAGATATTTGGGATAACAACTCCTACTGGCTCTAATCCTCAACCACAAACCAAGGAAGGCTCAAACCACTACGCCTACAAAAACCTTTTTCCGTCAGAACTAGCCACAACACAACATTAAACACATGTGAAAAACTGTTTCCGTTTCCATTGCTTTGTGCCATTCGAAATAACTAACCCGAGTGAGCAGCTAGTGTCGGGCGTGTTGTATCCTTTATATGCAATAAATTGTTTCACTAAACAATTATTATTTGTTTATATCATTATTGTGATGAATGACAGTATAAAAAACACACCATGTGCCCTACGAGGCAAATAGGCAGATCTGAACTCTGCACCAACCAGACCACAACACGACAGCTGCTGCTGCACATAAATGACTCAATATAGTGGGTAATAGGTATCTTTGTCGTGCATGTACCAAAATGACAGGGCAAGAAAAACTTTCCAAACATTTTCTTTGTGCAAACAGGCACCTATTACCAACCACAAACACCAACACATGTAACGGAAACATACACAAATGAGCACAATTCTGAAAAAAGGCTCATTGTACTGTTCTGACTTGAAACTTCTTCTGTTTCAGTCATGCACTTTATGATGGAAGTTATGCTAATGCAGAAAATGTTGATTCAAACTGATAAAATCCCTGCGGCGGAGCAGCCTGCTGCTGTGGGCTCGGGCTGCTATTTTGGGCTCTAAAGGTTCAGACAAAACCCTTATTAAAACAATAACGTGTGCCTTTCACTATCACACAGGAAGAGCTATCCACCACACATATTGTAAGTCAAACCAAGTGTGTTAACTTAAGCACAGGAAGGTTTAAAGTGCAAGACTGGAAGAAACACAACAGCTAAGGCAGAGGTGTGAAATATCTTAGACCAGTGGTTCCCAAAGTGTGGGGCGTGACAGGGGGGAAAATGGTTATTAAAAAAAGAAGAAAAAAGAAAGAAAAAAAAAAAAAATCATTGTTTGAAAAATTATTGATTCGAAAATATGATACAGTACAGTACTATTACGTCTGGGTCTCTGTGTTTCATTAAAGCTCGGCTCTGTGTGTGTGTGAAATGAGCCATTTTGTGTGCGTACACGAGCGAGAGAGAGCGCACCGGGACCGGAGATCGTTGTTGTTAGCTTCTGGTGCTAGCGAGCTACACTAACGGATATAAGGCGTTTTTTCAACAACAAAGTGGAGGAGAGTCCTCTCCTGTCAGACTGAGAGACTCAGTGAACTAATGGACTCTCTCAGTGTTATCTCAGTGGGTCTCAAACGTTTTGGTCACCATTAATGTAAACAATTATTTCCGAGGCACACGTTTATATGATCATTATAGTTATAAAAAAATAAGAGAATAAATGAAAAACAGGTATGAAATGACAGTTAAAAAATTACAGTAAAAACAAAATAAGTTTAAAAGGGTGATTTGTAAAATATCCATAAAGAAAAAGTAAATCTGTTAACAGTTCTGTTTCATATGGGTGTTGAGAGAGGTATCCTATCCATAGATCTCTTCATTTGGCTCTCAAAGTGTACCAGATTGATGCATTTAACTTCAATATTTAAAAATAAATCTTCCCGGGGGAGCTTGCCCCCGGACCCCCCTATGTAAGGTCCACACACCACCTATAAAAATAGCACTTTACCACTGCTTACACCTATATGCCGTGAGCTGATAATCGAGCCTTCACAGTGCATGACATTAAGGATTTTGGGAGCCATCTAAGCTAATTTACAGATGGCCCTGAGCCCAATAGAGATTGCCCTGAAAAATGCGCACGGACGAAATGACGCACGAAGGGTTTGGGGGGCCTCCCGCTAGAACATTTAGATTTTTGCAGGTCTTAGATGCTGTCTGGTGCATTCTCTAGATTGAATTATAAGATGAACCACCACAATATTATATTGTACAATTTCAATTGTATTCTTCATTTCACTTGTTTGTGTTTGCTCGCTTGCATGCCCTGCATAGCTATAATAAATACTTAAGTTGTTGGTCAAGACACTTTCCATCTGATGAAGTCAAATGCCTTCCCAGATGTAAAAAAGTAGAAAACATTACATGCAGTTATAACTGCCAAAACAAACATTATTTACGCTATTATGGCCCCTGTTAAAAATGTTTGTAATGTTATATGTAAGTTGGTCGAAGGAATGCCTCCTCATCCAGAAGCTGACCGAGCAGACCCGAGCAGCCGAGTGCATCTGCGAAGCACACACAATGGCGACGTCAGAGTTCCCGTTAGCAAGCAAATCTAAATCTCTTCGGTCAAAATAATTTGCCTTTAGGCAATACCGCTTCAGTTGCGCCACTTATGTGACAGACAAGAACAGTATGTGACAGACAAGAGTAGTCAATTCTAATGTGTAACACTTAATGTGGAGAAAGAGATGTGCTATATGGGTTGATTGTGCGTTGATCTGTTGCTAATGCCTCGGGGTTCCGGTGGGCATGTAAACAAATGCATAATGCTGCGCTATACTTTGTGGCCTCACCCGGTTGCATAGCAACACTTATTGTTTATGTGTCTTTTAATAAGCAGGTAGTCATATCATTAGCTAAAACTAGCTGGATCTGATCGATATGGACATAAACGCGAGTGAAGTCTAATCTGACAGGACAGAGAGATCAGCTGATGCTGACGAGTCGACACGCAGCTCTGCATGATCACATGCAGCGGTGAGCGGACAAAACACACACTTCAGGTTAGAATATCACACGTAGCTATTTTAATTACCTCTCAAACTACCTAAACTAGTTATGGATATGTTTAGTTTTACTGTCGGGTCACTCATTACTGGAACCGCGAGCTGCATGATACTGGCATAATAGATTGCCTGATCGGGCAACCAGCAGGCGAGGCTTCATTGCCCGAGCTAAATACTAGATGGCCCCGGGCCATCGGGCAGTCGTTAATGTCGAGCCCTGATTAGAGGTAACTGAGTTATTTATTTTGTTAAAGTTTCAGCTATTCTGTTTACAGTTCTGTTATCACATTATTTAATACGATTTGTTAAAAACATNTTGGTGGCTGACTAAATACTTTTTTGCCCCACTGTATCTAAATATTTAGCTGAGCAGCAGTAAAACCTTTCTCCCCCCCCCTCCCCCTCTCTCATTTCATAGTTGGCCAGGTGTGCAGTTTTCTGGTCCGACCGTCAGACAACACACCTGCGGACTACTCGCTCTTTTTTCGCACCAATGAAAACATCCAAAGGTTTAAGATCTCCCCCACCCCTAACAATCAGTACATGATGGGGGGGAGGTACTACAACAGGTACGTCCCGCATTGTGCCTGCCTCCAGCGGCCTTTACAACAGAATAATATGATATGCTGACATGCTGCATTTTGACTTGTGACTGAGGTGCTGCATCATGTGTTCTGTCGCTCTCCCATTGGCAGTGTTGGTGACATTATCGAGCATTACAAGAAAGAGCAGATTGTCGAGGGCTACAACCTGAAAGAGCCCGTTTCAGTGCAGGTACGTTCAAAGATTGAAATGATATGTATTCTTAATGGGGGATACATTTGAAAATGCAGGGGTGTTATGTGCTCTTAAATGCTCCTTCCTTTTCTGCCATCCAAAGTATCCAAATATTGATCTCAGCAGAGACCAGTGTGGGCAAAGAGTAAAAGTTGAACGCCACTGAACTGTAAATGTATATTCTGAAGAACATATTGCATCAAACATTTTCATGTTCATTTTATATCACTTAAAGCAAGGTAAGAGTGGAAGGGAATTGATATGATGGTTGTGTGATGGCTTGATTTGATTTCTTTTGACTGTAGAACCAAGAACAAGTTCTTTCTGACACAGTGGATGGGAGAGAGATTTATAACACTATCAGACGGAAAACAAAAGATGCTTTCTACAAAAACATTGTCAAGAAAGGCTACCTCCAGTTCAACAAAGGTATTTGTAACATCTGTGTTTGTAAAGCCCGTCAGTAGCTGCTTGTCATATCATCAAAAACATGACCCTGTCTCTTGTGGTCATGTCATTCAGGATCTACCATTATAATAACCGTATCTTTGGTTCCTCTCACCTTCAGGCAAAGGCAAACGATGGAAGAACCTTTACTTCATCCTGGAGGGGAACGATGCTCAGCTCATCTACTTTGAGAGCGAGAAGAGAGCAACCAAACCAAAAGGACTGATCGACCTGAGCGTGTGCTCCGTGTACGGTGTGCATGACAGTCTGTTTGGCAGGTGAGGTGTCAGAATATTGTGCTTGGTCTAATTCAGTGACTTTGGCAAGCTATTTCTTAAAAATGAAACGACATACAGAACAAAGTAATTAAATATATTCTCTTCCATTCCACCTACAGACCACACTGTTTCCAGATTGTTGTCCAGCACTTTAGTGAAGAACAGTACATATTCTACTTTGCGGGAGATGTTCCAGAACAGGCACAGGTAAGGAGCACTGCGCTAACATAGATGACTGTCTCAACTGACAGGGTAAAGAAATGTTCTGCACAAACTGCTGCTTTCTCAGAAACAGGAGGCCCCTGGACAGTGATGTTCAGTTGTGATAAAGACCTATATGTGTGAAAGAGAACCTGTTGTTTTATTTCTCATCAAACAAACGAGTACAAACGGTGTCAAATCGTTTATAAGGTTGTGAGTTCTTAAGGAGGCGGAGCTTATTATCACTTTGTTTTCAAATGTTCTGACGGTGTTCTGTGTTTGCAGGATTGGATGAAATGCCTTCAAACTTTCTGCAGTAACTTGAGGAAAACCACTCAGCCGACCACCAACAAGAGGCTTAGACAGGTACACATTACATCAATGTGTTCTCATATGCATAAAGCTAAGAGGTAGATGATCAAATACAACAAGCCAGTCGGAAGGTTTTCTAAATGAAGTATAAAGTATGACAGAGCGTCTACATGATCAGAAATAGCGTAAAGTTGAAAAGGCCCAGATTTGAATATCTGAAACAACTTATTGCATTTATTAAAAAGTAACTGGTTGACCATATCTGTCTTGTAACACATTGAGCAAGTTATTATAAGGAAAGTCGTGATGCTGGTTAACTCCCACACTTAGCTCGACTCGCATTTGTATGTTGTGTGTGCTAAATCTGGTTTCCCTCTCAGGTGAGCAGCCTGGTGCTGTATGTGGAGGAGGCCCACAAGCTGCCAGTGAAGTATTTCAACAGCCCGTACTGTAACATCTACCTGAACAGCGTCCAAGTGGCTAAAACACACCCGAGGGAGGGGCAGAACCCCGTCTTCACCGAGGAGTTCATCTTTGAGTGAGTCTGTCGAACTTGCTCAGAAGGAATCGTATCTTCATATATCTCATATCTTCTCTTCTACAGATTTCTAAAATATATGTATCTTTTTGTTTCAGTGACTTGTCGAGTGAAATCAACAGGTTTGAAATCAGCCTGAGCAACAAAACAAAAAAGAGCAAAGAAAGTGACATCTGTAAGGACATTGTAAAAACCAATCTCTCTTAGTCTCCTCATGTTTTATATCACTACTGACATCACCCCCCCCCTCCTCCTCACGCCTCCCCCTCTCTCTCCCGCTCAGTGTTCATGCGCTGCCAGCTGAACCGCCTGCAGAAGGGCCAGATGATCGATGAGTGGTTCCCCCTCAGCTCCCACGTGCCTCTGAAGGGCATCGAGCCTGGCTCTCTGCGGGTGCGTGCCCGCTACTCCATGGAGAAGATCATGCCTGAAGAGGAGTATGCAGAGTTTAAAGAGGTCGGTAAACGCTTCTAACTTACCGTCTGCTTCTCTCTCTGCTAGTCACTCCAAATGACAACCAAATCATTGTCCTCTGCAGATGATCTTGCAGAAAGAGTTCCACGTCATCTACGCTCTGGCCCATGTGTGTGGTCAGGACCGCACCTTATTAGCAAGCCTCCTTCTGCGGATCTTCAGACATGAGAAGGCTGAAGCCCCTCTACTCAGGACCCTCAATGACAGGGAGATCAGCATGGAGGGTAAGACAAAAACACATACTGTATCTAATCAGTATTTGAATATGCAATACTTCAGTTTGAAAAGGCCTCAGAGTGGAGTGTTTCCCAGGGTTGGTCTTCATTGTTTTCCCTCATATGTACAGACATGTGTTCATACACTGGTATGACCTTGTGCACTCCTTCCAGATGAAGCCACAACACTGTTCAGAGCGACCACCCTTGCCAGCACGCTGATGGAGCAGTACATGAAGGCCACAGCCACACCGTTTGTTCACCACGCTCTCAAAGACACCATCCTCAAGATTATGGAGAGCAAGCAGTCCTGCGAGGTACAGACCTGATGGGGGGGGTTTCTTTCCTCAACACAGCAACACAAGTTGTCGGCTATTTCCCCCTGCTCTTATCTGTGGCATTGGGTTCATGACTTTGTTTTTATATCATATCAGTGTAGTGGCTCTGCAAGAATGCGATGTACAGTAGATACAAACAAAACAGTGACACAACATCAACATGGCTGAGGTCTGATTGCTGGTATGCGAGTTCTTATTGAGTTCACATTGAAACAAAAGTCTAGTCAGTGCATTAATCATTTTTGTTCTCTTGTATTAAACAAATAAGAAATATGTGACCCGCTCTATTGAAATCAGTCGCAACGGCTCATTTCAAAATAAACGTGGATATGCGTAAAAAACAATTTTTTCTGGGTTTGGGTGTTTTGTCTGATCTTAAATAAACAAATTCTTGGCTTTGAGAATATGAAACTTTTATTTCCAAAATCACACGATAAATACATGTTTGAAGCGTGTAAAGGGAAGATGACAGCTCTCACTCACGCTCTGCTCTTCCGCAGCGCCACCGTGACATTATGAATGTAAGCGTATCCCCTCCCTCAAGTTTTCATCTGGTTTCAAAGAAACAAAGTCTTGGCTTTCAGAATATTAAACTTGTTTCGGCAAATTCAGATGATCAATACAACTTTGAAGCTTGTAAACGGCATAATTACTTGGAGAACGGAGTAACTTTGAGTCACAGCAGGCATAACAACAGCCGGTGGTTCTCGTGAGTGTTTTCCCCTGGAAACAAACACAACACACACAAACGCAAAATTACACAAACACACACACACACATATTCGCGAGCTTCCCCCAGACCAGCAATCCAAACGAAAATATCTTCCCTCCGTAGTATTTTGATCATTTGCTAATAATCAATCAGATCGATGGATTCCAGAGAAGAGGAAACTTTGAAGGCCTTTTTCTCAAAATGATGACTCGGTGATAGTCATTATATAATGTGACATATTTCGCTTAATATTTGGAGAACAACAACAATCCTGATATAATTAGAAAGCTATGAATCTCCTCTTTCCAACAGTGTATACAACTCAAAATGTGTCTTCGGGTCAATGCGACTGATTTCGATAGAGCAGGTCACATATCACAAATGTCTGACAACATTTTTTTAATCAACATTACATGCAGCAAGAGATGCTTTGGTCACTGTTGAATAACATGAATTGTATCTTATCTCATGGTTTCCAATCATACATTGTGAATTTGAATGTATTTCTCCTAATGATTCCGTTTCTGTCTCCCTGTCTTTGCTTTTTAGCTGAACCCCTCCAAACTGGAAAAGAACGAGGACGTGAACCTGAACCTGTCTCATCTGCTGAACATCCTGTCGGAGCTGGTGGAGAAGATCTTCATGGCTGCTGAGATCTTACCACCGTAAGAACAAACCGTCATATACTCACACAGTGGTGTGGTGTTTTGGGCGGTGTTCAAACAGAAATACAAGGTCAAAGGTCTCATGAACACACATAATAAGTAATTGTCTCTCTGTGATGACCCGTCCAGGACTTTGAGGTTCATCTACGGCTGTCTGCAGAAGTCTGTGCAGCAGAAATGGCCCGCTAACACCACCATGCGGACGAGAGTTGTAAGGTAAAGAAACACGAATGCTCAAAACCCACTTTGTTTGAGAGTTCAAAGCTTTGAATGTATCTTTCATCCGTGTTTGCTGACGACTTTAAACGTATGCATGTTATTTAGTGCTTGATCTTATTCAGTCTATTTTACTTCGTCCATTCTCCTCCCAGTGGCTTTGTCTTTCTAAGACTGATCTGTCCGGCCATCCTCAACCCCAGACTGTTTAACATCATTTCTGGTGAGCATCAGCCGAAAAGCACATGTTAGCCCTCTGCTTGTTGTACCACATGTTACAATGTGTGTTGAATACTACCCTCTCTTCTTGCAGACCCTCCATCCTCAGCAGCAGGCAGGACCCTCACACTGATAGCTAAGTCTGTTCAGAACCTGGCCAACCTGGTTGAATTTGGTGCTAAGGTGTGGATTATGTACTTACAACAACAGCATGCAGTATAAATCTATATTTAAGGCAGTAGCTATACGTCTAACAGTTCTATGTCTGATAATATAATTGACTCGTTCTGATTTTCCTCAAACAGGAACCCTATATGGAGGGTGTGAACCCTTTCATCAAAAACAACAAACACAGGATGATCATGTTTCTGGATGAGTTGGGGGTGAGCTTTGTGATGAAATAATCTGATATTCTTCTTGAGAGCCCTGACTCACAACTTTTACTTCACAAGCCTAGAACTTTTCCCATTGTGTTTGTAGAACGTCCCTGAACTCCCTGAAGCCACAGAGCACTTTAGGACGGAGCTGTCCAGGGACCTGGCCGCGCTGCATGAGTTGTGCGTCACACACTCAGACGAGCTGCGGACACTGAGCAACGAGAAGGGAGCGCAGCAGGTCAGATTGATGAGATTCACACAGGAGAACTCGGCAGCCATGTTTCAGAAGGATGTATCTAACTCCTGCTTCCTCTCTCTGCAGCATGTGTTGAAAAAGCTGCTGGCCATCACAGAGCTCCTCCAGCAGAAACAGGCTCAGTATGCCATGTCCAACAGCAACAGGTAGTACAGCACTCCTCTCTCCTCCATCTCCCCATCAAGTCTCCTCCACCGGACCGCAGCGCAGAGACCTAGCATGCTCTACCCTCATCACCATGGCAACCCCTCCATCATGTCCTCCTCCAATAGTCCCGCCCATCCCCCACCCACCATCTTGTCCCGTTCACCACAAGAGAGCTATGCAACAGCAGCGGAGTACAAAGCCGATGCAGTACTTTAAAAAAAAAAAAAACTCAAATAAAAAAAAAACTTGCACCAGTGACTGACAGCTACATCCACAGGAATCAAACTTTTAAACTGTGCTCAAAATTCTGACTTGGGTACATTTCATTCCCTTCATCACAAGGGCCAAATAGAGATTTCCAGAGTTTCGTTGTACCCACAGCACAGGTTGCCAAAGTGTGTCCCCCTCTTCCTGCTCGATATGAGCTAACTGACATGAAGAAGCTAGTTCTCTGTCCCCCTTTCTTGTAACTGGATTATGAGCGATTATGCTTTTTATACTGTAATTGACTGATTTATTTTAAGGTTGTGACAATATCCGCTAAGTGCTGAAACTAGCATTTCTGTCTATTTTGTTCTTTTTTCTTTCTTTCTTTTCTAGATTGGAACAAAGTCTTTCAGAAAGTATGGTTATTTTATATTAAGAATAAATTCTCTTGCTGGAATCATGAGTATATAAGACAGATGAACTGAATTTTTTTTTTTTTTCGATTGTATCAGCTACTTTTCGATGATTTGGTAAAGTCTTTATTGACACTTCTCAATGCCAGACAAAACACATAATCAGAGATGCCAAGTAAAATAAAAGTGTTTACAGCAGTAATTTGTTTTGAATAGTACAGACTGTATCAGACATGCATGCACTTATTAAACAGTTTTTGTAAAGTAGATAATGGAGTCATTCATTGTCCCCTGACCAAGGTGGAGAAACATTTGCACGCAGTGGATTGGTTACGAACAAAGATACACAATGTAGAAAAATATCTTTATTCTTACTGCGGAACAAAGGCAAGTTTCTACACACTGTAGAAAAGTAAAATAAGATGTACACTAATGCAAACTTCATTGTGTTTTCGCTTGTTCTTCCAACCTTGACAGTTAAATACTATAACAACTTTAAATCAAAAGCCAAGTTGGGGTAAATGCTCATGACATGTCTTCGTCACTCATAATCTGCAATGAAAAAAAAAGAAGCCATTTTAGAAAGATTTACAATGAACTGTCAGAATTCTCCCTTCAATGCAGAACAGTCTCACCTCTTCTGTTAAACGTGGTTCTTTTGCTACATGGCCATCTTCTTCATATCCTCTCTTCCGTTTGCTGCAATACAAAAAGGTAGTGTTAAATAAAGCAGGGTTACGGTTCTAAATGTCAAATCACAAGTTATCTTTGCAAGCTGTAATTGTTGGTGAACTCTGTTTCTTACATTTGTGACCAACCCCTTCAAATCCATGTTCAACACCCATTTAGGTGAATAATGTAGCATGTAGTTTCCCCTTATAGCTTCATGATCATCATAAGTAGTTTCCAATGTCTCTTCATTTTCATTTAGACTAGTAGTAGACACACGCCTGGTAGCATTTTAGTACACAGAAGTGATTCTCCAAGCGTGTGCCTTTCACAAACGTGTCCACTTTATCTTACAGGACAGAGTGCACCATCATGTCACTGGCTGCTGCCATCCAGGTAATGTGAGTTTTACAGATTTCCAACAGAGAATCAAAGTGTGCTAGTCAGACCACACCGCCAGCCAAAGCCAGGCCTCGTCCCATGAGGTGCCCGACCGAAGACTTAAGTCAGTTTGTATTTATAAAGCATGTGGCCTAGATCCCTAGCAGTTCTAACGCAATATGGCTGTTCTCCACGGGAAGACACTCGCTGCACATCTGAATACTGTCCTTCCAAAGCCCTTCCCAAATGCTTCAGACACCGACATGTGTGTTGAACTGATTTACATTTTGACAAGAAGCCTTGTCGCTTGAGACCTTTTCGAAAAGATGATTTCTGTGAAGATGGACCTGAGATACAGTCAACTGCAAAATGTGTGAACTTCTTTTATCCTGGTATGCCTGCCACTCCCTCTGTTTGACTGGTTAACATGGTTGGTGATTGACATGGAAACCAGACAAATGTGGCACCCTGCTCTGCCACTCCTTTTTTTTTTTTTTGGAGGGAAGCTTCGAGGAAACGGGGGAGGCAATCCAAAGCATTGAACTAGCGTTTTCTGCCGTCATCAGGGAATTTAAACACAGCACCTCTCTCCAAGACGACACAAGCCTTAACTCCCTTTCTACTCACCATCTGCCCACCGTGTCACGTGATTTTATGACGAGCTCTTCCTTCATAAACGTCCACCATCTTTGTGTGAGCTACCACGCAGCACTGGAACCACTTGTTACATTTTTTTTTTTATATGCTGCTTTGTTTGTTGATATTGTTTCCTTAGGCTTGTATAGAAGTAAATGGTGTTTGTGTATGATCTAGCTGAACAATAGTCTAGGAGATCTCTGTGTCCTGTGCATGTGTTAACCCTGATGGGATCCTGCTTTAGTGTGTGGGCCTACATATATGCTGCTCTAACAAACATCACCTGAACTCCCGCTAAGCCTTGGGGTGTGAACAAAAGCTTTCATGCATTTGCAGTCTCTCTCTTTCTCTCCCGCCATCCCCGGTGGCGTTTCAGTACACCTCTGTCTGCACCGATAGATTCATCCTGAGAAGTCATGCCATGCACAGATTTATCAACTTCAAAGTCATGGAGGGTTGGCCTTGTGTGCCTCCTGATGATTCACGCAGCTGCAGAGTCTGAATCTGTGCCTGTCATAGCTAAAGAGTTTACCAAACTGTTTACTGTAGTTGCACTTAATGATACCACGGACCTCACCAACCTCACCAAGTGTTAACAGACAGCCGGCGGCAGATAACTGAGCCTAAAAGTCTCCTCATCAGCGATACCAATATCAAATGTGCCACATGGTATAGATGATGTAGGTAGGAATGTGGCGTGCTGTTGTACTTCCTTTCTGTATTTCATACAGCTGATGATGTGTTCCTTTTTATTTTTCTACCTGATACTGAACCTTGAACCTTTTGCATCTTAGATACGACAACCTGGCTAAAATAAAACTGTTACTATGTATGACAATGAGAAACTTGAGTTGTTTACTTTGGTGTGACGGAATACAAATGACGTTGGTGTTTACAAAACAGTCCTATTTAGTACCCCTAAACTGGAAAAGGTGCCCAAATTACACTAATGTTAATATTAGGACCATATAAAAAGACATTATTTTTGAAACTCCACAATAAAATCACCTTTTCTGACTTTTAAAATGTAGCAGGGTATAGTGTGATATTAGATCATTCTCTCCGTATTGGCAATCTCTCTAAACACGAGCAGTTGACTTCATCTACTTACTTGCTTGAAGTGGCAAATTCAGCATGAATCCTCTCCAACTTCTTTTTGTAAGTATTCACCTCCTCTGGTTTGGGAAGTTCATACTTATTTAGGATGGTTTTCATCCCTGAATGAACACAGATAAACTTCACATGAATCTCCGCTAAAACGTGTCCTGTGTACCATATTGGCTCAATATCGCCATCCTGTGGTGTCACATTGAAGGTGCGGCTCACTCACGTCTCATGGATTCATACATCTTTGAGAGAGTCTCCTTGTCCTCTTTCATCCCCAAACACTCATTGAGGTAGCTGTGCATTTGGGACAAACAAACAAAACAATGTTTTACCATTTAATCATTCTGGCAGAACATTGTCCTTTAATTGCTAAACAAACCTCATCATGTTAGCTTAGCATTGTTATGAAATGAACAAGTCCAACAACCCACCTCTCCATGCTGAGACCGGCTCTGGAGGCGCTGTTCAGAATGGCTGTTAGAGCGATCTGAGAGGGGGGGAACAGCAGTCCTGCATCTGTAATGGTCGCCTGTGTCAGAAAGTCATCCGCACTCTTCCTCAGTGACTCTGGGTTCTCTAGCGTTGGGTATCTTGTCTGATGGATGAAATACATTACAATTACAACATATATTGATACAGGACACATACTCAGCTAGATTAGCACAACGAGTGTATTAGAATAACATATGATGATCTCCAAGGATCGATCTACCTTGAGGTCGATGAGCAGACCCTCCATGGGTCTGTAGGGGTTGTGGACCACCAGGTGAAACTTGAGTTGTTGGATCAGCAGAAGCTCAAACTCCAGGATCTGCTCCAGAACCCTTTCCTGCCCGGCCGGGGTCTCCTGCAGAAGGTTGCCCACAAACTGGGTGCTGGACACGTTGAACTCATCCACTTTACAGGACAGGTATGCACACGTCAGCCTGAAACAGGGAGGTGAGTTTGTAACAGGTTGTGTACACTGGTAATAAAAAAAGGCTGAACTAAAGGCTTATTAGCAGTTTTGGTGAATTTAAACAATAGTTGGATGGCAAGTCAAAAGTTATAATTGCTATACAAAACTCTTAAGAATTCCTAAACGTATAGCTAAATAAAGGAAGATGTTATAACATTGATTGGAAGTTGGAACCTAGATATGATACGTAAGAATCAATAAGTAGTGTTATGCCATCTAACATTCACTCGACACATCTTAAGCAAATTATTTTCCTACGTAAGTTGGACTCAAACCTCAGAAGCTATGTTTTTAAATGTTGCATTAATACATACATACTTTCCTCTCAATATTATCCAGGCCAGTTAGCCAGTCAATATGAAGACTGCACTATTGTGTTTTTAAACCAAATTTCAGATGTGGAATGGATAAACTACAGGGAACTGTCACACCAAATATACACACCCACTTAAAATTAATAATATAAACTAAAAGCACAGATAATAGGTTGCTAACATGAGATATATGTTCCAAATGACATTATTTCCATAATTTAAAACACAACTGGAAGCCATTTTGTGTTGTATCCTATGCTTAACTGACAAGTAGAGGAACTAATTGGTCATGGAAGATTTGGAAAGGCTTGCTTATATAATTTTAAACATACTCACATTATTATCCGAGGATGGTACTCCATGATGGAGTTGAACAGGTAGAATCTCCTGAAGTACATGATGGCTGTACCCTGCACAGGTGAGAGACACACGGGTCAGATATCTACATATTTCAACCACAAAGATAATGAGAAATCCCACACATACCACAACAGACTTGGGCATTGCAGGCTTGAAAGCGTTGCAGAAGTCCATCATCCTCCTCTCATAGTGTCGGAATAAAACGTCCTCCTCGTGCCGCTCCATGAACGAGGACTCACTCAGACCAGGCTGATTCACAGAGGCGCGAGGAGGTTAAGTAAACTGTCACACATTGTCTTAATTTATGTATTATTTGGTGTTATGTACTTCTTACCTTCCCACTTTCCAGTATCTTGTTACGGAACTTCAGGTTGGCCTTGCATCTCTTCTGCTCAATCTCGTCTTCATTTTTCCATATCCAGTATTTTCCCTGTGAACTGTTGTGGAACATGGCTGCTTCTGCAAGAAAATTGGAAAGCAAAAATGTCAAAATAAAGTCGAAGAAAACAACATTGATAGAAATTTAAAGTTAACGTAGCTGCTCAAAGTGTTACAGGTTTTGCGCTAACATCAATTAACTTACTTTATTTGTGTCTAGTCCATTCAAAACTGGGTAGTGTTGACGAAGAAAATGATGTAGTGAAGAAGGAGGTAGCTGTGTACAAACAGCCTCTTTAATTCCTCGTAAAACTTCAAATTCACTATATAAAAAAATACAAACACTAGCAATAATAAAACTGCTGCACGTCGCCACTCTCTTACGTCAGCGTTGTCCCTTTTTGATGACGTGCTGCTACCGTAATGTAGAATAAAAGTGCGCATATCAAATGTTTATCAGTAGC